AATTAACGTTAATTGATACTGCGGCTTATAATCCGGTGCAGCTTTTGGTCGTGAAAATACGCTAAATATGAACCAACATTGTGTGGAGGCAGCCAAAAAAGCCAACACAATCCTAAGTTGCATTAACCGGGATACAGTCAAGATCAAGTGAGGTTCTAATATCACTCTATAAAGCCCTAGTAACTCCACACTTGGAATACGGCATCCAGTTTCGGTCCCCACACTATGAAAAAGATGTGAAGACTCTAGAAAGAGTGCAGAGAAGAGCAATCAGGATCATTAGGGGACTGGAGGCTAAAACATACAATGAACGGTTATAGGAACTGGGCATGGCTAGTCTACTGAAGAGAAGGACCAGGGGAGACAGGATAGTAGTCTTCCAATATTTGAGGGGCTGCCACAGAGAGGAAGGGGGCAAGCTATTTTCCAAAGCACCTGAAGGGCAGACAAGGAATAATGGATGGAAACTGACCAAGAAGAGATTCAACCTGGAAATGATGAGAAAACGCCCCCTCCCTGCTTCTATGGTGCAGGAAGCTGTCTAGGCCACACCCTCATGGCCATGCCCAGTTGCTAAAAATTTTCAATCCCGGCCCTGAGCCACTCCCTATTTTACACAGAACACTGGGAAGCTCCCTATCAACAGTTGCCTGGTTTAGTAATCAATGATTTGTAAATTACAGATCAACCTCTTACAGCGTTTATAGCCCAGAAACCTACGAAGGACACTGGAAGCAGCTAACAGTTCGTACTAGCTCGAATGGCCACGTCATGGCAATTGCCTATTTTAATCCGCAGGTATGATAAAAATTTCTTTTCTGTAATAATAAAAGAGCCTTTTGGCAGCTTTTTCGATGTCTCGGGAAACTGCTGATTGTTTTGGGGAGTTAAAGCATGGTTCCCACAGAGAAATGTCTGTCCTGCTTAAGATGTTTTCTTCATTTTTCCTAATTTTCTTTGAAGCCCGCTGTGCTGTGTAAGACATCTAAGCATCTTTCTGGTGGATTTTTGTTTTGTTTTGGAATCTGTAGAAATTAAGCAAAGAAGAACTTGCTACGCTGCAAACTTCGATGGCTACTTACTTCACAGACGGCCCTGGAAAAGACAGCGGAATAACATCTTTATATTTTGTAGAAGAAGGTCAGAGGTAACGATAAAAGATATTTTTCAGGGTTGTCGGACGTGGGATGCCATCATGCCCCTATAACGGGAGAAACTAAACTGCTACAAAATACAGCTGAATGTTCAAAATGCTAAGTGTTTAGTAAAAAAAAATGTTAAGGTTCATTAGAAATACTGTAGACTTAAGCGCATCCCACCCTGTTTCCCCCCAGATCCAAATATAATTTTTATTTACTTTTGTAAAAAGCAAGAAGCAGAGTCTTGGTCCTGGCAAAACCCCTTTTATTTCCATGACTGTGAATTCCTTTCATTCACAGTTCGCAAGGGTTAGCAAACAGTCTTTCAGAGGAATATTTATCCACATGAACCTTATCTCGCTTGGAGAGCTGCCAGATAGCTAGTTTCCAAACGCAGGGCAAGGCAACACTTGGCACAGAGTCTCTTAAAGTCACAAACAGAACTTTCCACTCTTGACACGATCAAAGGAACGAATTGTTTCCTGGAAAAGCCCCCTCCCCATTTGCTCCTCTTTTGTTGCCTATGGGAGGGGCCAATCACCTCCAAGGGGTGGCTTTACTCCCAAGTTGACCCTGCTTTCTTGGTTGTTCTTGTCTTCTG